TTCGTAGTAATTTCAAAAAAATTCCTACGCACACGCAAGATCATGGTGATGCATAGCAATGAGAGGGGAGAGTGTGATCTACGTACCCTTGTAGATCGACAACGGAAGCATTAGCACAACGTGGTTGATGTAGTCGTACGTCTTCACGGCCCGACCGATCAAGCACCGAAACTACGGCACCTCCGAGTACTAGCACACGTTCAGCTCGATGACGATCCCCGGACTTCGATCCAGCAAAGTGTCGGGGAAGAGTTCCGTCAGCACGACGGCGTGGTGACGATCTTGATGTACTACCGTCGTAGGGCTTCGCCTAAGCACCGCTACAATATTATCGAGGACTATGGTGGAAGGGGGCACCGCACACGGCTAAGAATATGATCACGTGGATCAACTTGTGTTTCTAGGGGTGCCCCCTGCCTCCGTATATAAAGGATCAAAGGGGAGGTGCGGCCGGCCAGGGAGGGCGCGCCAGGAGGAGTCCTACTCCCTCCGGGAGTAGGATTCCCCCCTTTCCTAGTTGGAATAGGATTCGGGAGGGGGGAAAGAGGAGAGAGAGAAGGAAGGGGGGCGCCGGCCCCCTCTCCTTGTCCTATTTGGACTAGGGGGGAGGGGCGCGCGGCCCAGCCCTGGCCACCTCTCCTCTCTTCCACTAAAGCCCACTAAGGCCCATATACCTCCAGGGGGGTTCCGGTAACCTCCCGGTACTCCGGTAAAATCCCGATTTCACCCAGAACACTTCCGATATCCAAATATAGGCTTCCAATATATCAATCTTTATGTCTCGACCATTTCGAGACTCCTCGTCATGTCCATGATCACATCCGGGACTCCGAACAAACTTCGGTACATCAAAACTCATAAACTCATAATATAACTGTCATCGAAACCTTAAGCGTGCGGACCCTACGGGTTCGAGAACAATGTAGACATGACCGAGACACGTCTTCGGTCAATAACCAATAGCGGAACCTGGATGCTCATATTGGCTCCTACATATTCTACGAAGATCTTTTATCGGTCAGACCGCATAACAACATACGTTGTTCCCTTTATCATCGGTATGTTACTTGCCCGAGATTCGATCGTCGGTATCTCAATACCTAGTTCAATGTCGTTACCGGCAAGTCTCTTTACTCGTTCCATAATACATCATCTCACAACTAACTCATTAGTTGCAATGCTTGCAAGGCTTATGTGATGTGCATTACCGAGAGGGCCCGGAGATACCTCTCCGACAATCGGAGTGACAAATCCTAATCTCGAAATACGCCAACCCAACATCTACCTTTGGAGACACCTGTAGAGCACCTTTATAATCACCCAGTTACATTGTGACGTTTGGTAGCACACAAAGTGTTCCTCCGGCAGATGGTAGTTGCATAATCTCATAGTCATAGGAACATGTATAAGTCATGAAGAAAGCAATAGCAACATACTAAACGATCGGGTGCTAAGCTAATGGAATGGGTCATGTCAATCAGATCATTCACCTAATGATGTGATCCCGTTAATCAAACAACAAGTCTTTGTTCATGGTTAGGAAACATAACCATCTTTGATTAACGAGCTAGTCTAGTAGAGGCATACTAGTGACACTCTGTTTGTCTATGTATTCACACATGTATTATGTTTCCGGTTAATACAATTCTAGCATGAATAATAAACATTTATCATGATATAAGGAAATAAATAATAACTTTATTATTGCCTCTAGGGCATATTTCCTTCATATAAGCCTTGGAAGCAATGTGACTAATGAGTTAGTTACAGGATGATGCACCACGGAACGAGTAAAGAGACTTGCCGGTAACGAGATTGAACTAGGTATTGAGATACCGACGATCGAATCTCGGGCAAGTAACATACCGATGACAAAGGGAACAACGTATATTGTTATGCGGTTCGACCGATAAAGATCTTCATAGAATATGTAGGAACCAATATGGGCATCCAGGTTCCGCTATTGGTTATTGACCAGAGAAGTGTCTCGGTCATGTCTACATAGTTCTCGAACCCGTAGGGTCCGCACGCTTAACATTCGTTGACGGCACAATATTTATGAGTTATGTATGTTGGTAACCGAATGTTGTTCGGAGTTCTGGATAAGATCAAGGACATGACGAGGAACTCCGAAATGGTCCAGAGATAAAGTTTGATATATGGGATAATAGTGTTTGGTCTCCGAAAGGGTTCCGGAATTCACCGAAAGGGGTTCCGGATGTTTCCCGAAATGTTTGGGTACGAAAACACTTTATTTGGGCCAAAGGGGAAAGCCCACAAGGTTTTTGGAAAGCGCAAAAGGAAGTTTTGCGGAGTCTAGGGGCCAGACGCCAGGGTCCCTGGCGTCTGGGGCCAGACGTCGGGAACCCTGGCGTCTGGCCCTGGAGTCCGAGAAGGACTCTTGCCTTTCGGGTGAAACCGACTTTGTGGAGGCTTTTACTCCAAGTTTCGACCCCAAGGCTCAACATATAAATAGAGGGGTAGGGCTAGCACCCAAGACACATCAAGAAACAGCAAGCCGTGTGTCGGCTACCCCGTCCCCTCTAGTTTATCCTCTGTAATAGTTTTCGTAGTGCTTAGGCGAAGCCCTGCGAAGATTGTTCTTCACCAACACCATCACCACGCCGTCGTGCTGCCGGAACTCATCTACTACTTCACCCCTCTTGCTGGATCAAGAAGGCGAGGACATCATCGAGTTGAACGTGTGCTGAACGCGGAGGTGCCGTACGTTCGGTACTTGATCAGGACGGATCGTGAAGGTGTACGACTACATCAACCGCATTGATAAATGCTTCCGCTTTCGGTCTACGAGGGTACGTAGACATACTCTCCCCTCTCGTTGCTATGCATCACCATGATCTTGCGTGTGCGTAGGAATTGTTTTGAAATTACTACGTTACCCAACACCTTCTCCTTCATCAACTTGGCTAGCTCATCCTCATATGCATGCATTTCTTGAATCCTACCAAGGTTTTGCCCATGGAACATTTCCCACGGCTTGATGAGGCGGTTCTTAAGAATATTAGGCCAGCCAGGATCGACCCACTTAACTACACCACATTTGACACCTCCTGTTCAATCAAAGATCATGTATAAAAATGAATTAAGTTTAGTCAGACATCACATACATAAGGAGATGTGTAAATTAAGAAATGAATTCAGTTGAAACAGAGTTCAAAGAATTCAGTTCAAACAAAGTTTAAAAAGTTTAGTTCAAACAGAGTATATATACAAGGAAATACATTTGGAACTGAATTTAGTTCAAACAAATAGGATTTGCCAACAAACATCAACAACACTTGTGCAATATAATGCCAACATATAATCAATCAATGACTATCCAGTTATCCAACAGCTGCACATACTTCTGCTACATATGCCATTTAAGCTATCCAATTATCCAACTAGTAACAAACTACTAGATAAAACAAAACTACTTCTCCTCCAATTACTCACCTGAACAGGGCATACATAGAACCTCCTTCTACTGTTAGCACCTTCAAATGCAAGCCACTTCCTAGGCATCATCTAGTGCAACGTGCACTTGGGAACTTCCTCCATGGGAGCACCACAAAAACAGTGGCTCAGGGATGGTGTTAGGTGTCTCCCACATATAGTACAAGCTAAATCATACAAAGGATGCATCAACTAGTTGAAGATCCGTCAAGCACTGGCTAAACCAAAAAATACATCCGTAGTTGCAGATCCTCAACCCTAATTCCCAAATCAGTCAACCCTAACCCTAAGTAATGGCAGATGGAGATGACGATGCTTACAAAGCACTCCATATCCATCAAGTTGCCCCCATGTTGTTGTCATCGGAGCTCTCTTCCCCATCGTTCCAAGAAGGTATCCTGGTCGGCGACAAGGAACTAAGGTGGTCGGTGACGATGGCGAGCTCAGGCATGGGAGAACAGAGCGGGGGAGAGATTGGGAGTGAGTGCGCGCGAGTGAGAGAGTGAGCTGTACTGGGCCCTTTTTCACCTGGTCAGAACGGCTCGCCCTAACGGCCATGAGCACGCGCGTCGTCAGCCATGTCCGACGTGGATCTGACGGGCGCCCCCGTGTCATAAGCACGCTTAGATTTTAACTGGTGACTAGGTTTTTTTTGGGATAGCGAACCAATTTTGTGTTAGTTTTTTGAAAAATTAAGAGAAGTGGTAGTTTTTTGTAACCCTAGCCCGTAATGTGGTATTTTTTTTTTGCTATATACTCTTTATTTTCTAACACCGGACACAAGATGAGTCCAATATCTAAAATTATTTCATCTTGTTACACCAACTAAACACACCCTTAGATAATTACCGACAAAATTTTAATATATCATTATGGTACCTGTTTGCAGCATATCGATGGATGTAATCGGGCTTCTTTCATTCAAAGGATTTTCATATGAATTTTGGAAGATTATAATTCTTAGGATTTTTTGCTATGTTGGTTGTTCGATTCATAAATTTTATTTAAAGAATTCCTTTGTACTATATTCCATAGAAATTTTAGCATCCACTCAAACCTTTTAAAAAAAATCCTTTGTTTCTCCTCTCATACAATCAAACAAAAAAAAAGTCTAGTTGAATTGAGATGAACTTGACATTGTATTCCTATATTTTTCCTATTCCCACGTTTTTAGAATTCTGCGATCAAGTGGGGCCTGGTAGTTTGGTAGACCCTTGTAGAAAGAAGTTGGTATTTTTTATGAAGATAAAGAAAAATAAAAGTTTGGTAGACCAAAAATGCTGTCGTGGCTTTCTCGATTAAGGGGGGCCCCGGATTGGTGGCTGCACCGTGCCACCGAGCCTCACCCGACCAGTTGACCACCACGGTGCCCCCGACCTGATGCTTCTCCCTCTCCCTCTCCCTCTCCAACGCATCGGGCAACCCACCCCCCTCCAACCCTCTCCCACTGATTCGCTCGCCGCGCGCGCGCGAGATCCAGCCGCGCCCCCCGCCGAGATCTCCCGGCGGATCACTAGGACGGCGCCGCCGAGGAGCTCGGAGCCATGGAGGCGTCGTCCTGGGACGCCCTTCGCAAGCAGGTGAATACAACCCCCCCTCCCGGATCCCCGCTTCGCGCTCCCTTTCTCGCTCCCAGGAACCTCTCGCCGGTGTCCGTTCGCCCGAGATCCGACCCTGCGCCGCGCGGTGGGTTTTGCTGCGCTGCCGCTGTGGTACTCGGACCGACGATTCTCCCCCCACTGCCCGCTGAATTCAGGCGACCCATGTAAAATTGGAGCGCCTCGTTCGTCGAATCCGTAGTCCGTGTATGTGGAGCAAAATGCGTTTTTCTTCCATCTTCTGAAATTGTGGAGTTTTCGTGACGCAAAGACTAGTAGTTTCATAGTGGCCATGTTCTAAAAACTGTGCTGCAGGTATACCTTTGCTCCTCGGCGGCCCATTTCTTTGACTAACATGGGTGGGCTTGGAGCAATGTGACACTAATCTAGTGTGCAACGGACTAGAGTTTTGATCCTACCAAACCGTCCCTTCTGCATCTGATGCTTTTGTTGGTTCGATCGTGTAATCGTGCTTATGGAGTATCTAGTAATGTAATGTGGTGTTAGTCTTGTTCATGAGAGTCGGGTGCTTACGGTTAGTGTGTTCGGACTGTACGGTACGAGTCTATGGCTGAACCCATCCTTGGCTAGGCTATAAGAAGGTGCCATGCCAACTTATTTTCTGTAACGATGTCACTTCTGAATACGACTGCGCGCCAGGATGGATATCCTTGTCCATTGGCAGTTAGGTCATCGGTTCCTGGTGTCAGGTGAAATTGGTTCGGGCGCTTGGGCCTTTTTTGCCGCGGGATAAAACGCTGCTGCACTGGACGATTTTATTAGCACCTACGGGTTAGCGTCTATAAACTGTCGGATGCTTTAAAAAATTTTATGATATCCTTTTTATTTCCCTAAGCACCTGCATAAACGACTTGCGTTGAAGATGGCCTTATGGTTTCATGAAGCTATGAGTAGGCTGATAGATGGTATTTGATGTATGTGTGTGTATGGCTAAAGTTGTTACTGTACTATTTCTGCTTGTAGGCGAGGAGGTTGGAAGCTCAGTTAGACGACCAAATGATTGCATACCGTAAATTGGTTTCTATGAAATCAGATGGTTCAGAAAATGATATCGAGACTGATATAGAAAGATCACTAAAGCAACTTCAGCAAGTAAATTCTCAAATGCAAACCTGGGTATCATCAGGAGGCTCAGAAGTTCTATCTCATACATTGACCCGTCATATGGAGATTTTGCAAGACCTTACGCAGGTTCCAATAAATCCCTCTTACACTAAGTAATCACATTCTTCATAATTACAGTTTGTTTAGCTCCAATGTTAAATCAAGGTTTCTATTAATTTCTCCCCAGTCAATAACCATGAATTATAAAGTTTGCTGTGGAGCAATACTCTTTGAAGTTTGGACACCGCATATAGAACGGCTAGACTTCTCTCATAATTCTGAAAAGTTGCTAACCCAACAATTCAACACAGGAATTCTATCGGCTTCGATCTAGTCTCAGAGTGAAGCAACAGCATGCTTCTCTCCTTGACTTGAGAGACTTTGACAGAGCAAAGTTTGACGTGGAAGAGTCTGGGGACTCAGAACAAGCTCTTCTTAGAGAACAAGCTGCAATCAGCAGGAATTCTGGACAGGTAGGATTGTCCTACTTTTTAGGAGCACCTGTATTGCTTTCTTAAATTTGCATCAATTTATTGTTAGCTCTATTAGATAGTATCATATAAGGCATACAAACAAACCCAGTATAACAGCTTACATGCATGAATGGAGTTGCATTGTGTTACCAACATGAATTCTCAAGCATTTCAAATTGAAGGAGCCTCACTCGCCTTTCTTTTAGGAGATAAATATATTCTGTCAGGGCAAACAAATGAATTAAATTCACCTTTCTGGTGTATTTGTTAACAAATATTTATTTTCTTACTGAACAGTACCCGCCACATAAAATAAGGGAGCCATGCCACTTTTATTTTTGGTTTTCCTATGGCATGTGCTGCCCAATTTTACTGTTCTTGCTTGTTATTAATATGTTTTGGACTCAGTGAGGTTCAGGAATTCCACAAAGGCTCATATATTACACTTGACTTGATTATAGTGCATGCTAATAATTGCATGTGCGCATCTATTTCAGTTTGAGCAAATTTTCTTGAATTTCAACCTACATGCTCGTGAAATTGCTTGTTTAGAAATCTATCTTTCATTAAAAACTGCAACAAGAACGACAACAAGAACGACAACAAGAAGCCTTTTAGTCCCAAACAAGTTGGGGTAGGCTAGAGTTGAAACCCATAAGATCTCAAAACCAACTCATGGTTATGGCACGTGGATAGCTAACTTCTACGCACCCCTGTCCATGGCTAGTTCTTTGGTGATATTCCAGTCCGTCGGATCTCTCTTAACGGACTCCTCCCATATCAAGTTTGGTCTACCCTGACCTCTCTTGACATTATCAGCACACTTTAACCTTCCACTATGCATTGGCGCTTCTGGAGGCCTGCACTGTATATGCCCAAACCATCTCAAACGATGTTGGAGAAGCTTCTCTTCAATCGGTGCTGCTCCAACTCTATCATGTATATCTTCATTCTGGACCCGATCCTTTCTTGTGTGGCCACATATACATATCAACATGCACATCTCTGATACACCTAACTGTTGGGCATGTTGCCTTTAGTTGGCCAACATTCAGCTCCATACAACATCGGTCGAATCGCCGTCCTATAGAACCTGCCTTTTGGCTTTTGTTGCACTCTCTTGTCACAAAGGACGCCAAAAGCTTGGCGCTACTTCATCCATCCAGCTTTGGTTCAGTGGCTCACATCTTAATGATATCACCATCCTTTTGCAGCATTGACCCCAGATATCGAAGGTGTCCCTCTGAGGTATCACTTGCCCACCATGGCTAACCTCCCTGTCCCTCCTCCTCCTCGTGCCTACTAGTCTGAAGCCGCACCTCATGTACTCAGTTGTAACTTTCCGATTCCAAAGTCTGTCTCCACAGCTCTAACTTTCTATTAACCTCCATCCGCCTATCGTTGACTAGCACCACATCGTCTGCAAAGAGCATACACCATGGGTTATCTCTTTGTATCTCTTGTGACCTCATCCATCACCAAAGCAAAAAGCTAAGGGCTCAAAGCTGACCCTTTGTGCAGACCTATTTTAATCGGAAAGTCATCAGTGTCGCCACGCCATCACTGAAAACTGCAATTGAACAAATATGAAAAATTTAAGCCTTTGAAGCTCCCTGTTATGGGTTTTCTGGTAGTCATTGTTGCATGGGAACATATAGTGGCATGAGGGCATTAGTTCAGTACTCAGGAGTTATGGCCTAGTTCCCATCGAAACCTGAAATATAAGTGGAATGGAACATAGAAAGTGAGATTGTTTGCATGCTTATGGTGGAAGCTGTAAAGATGAATAGTACCTAGGTGCAGCTTTTATCAAAGACCACATGCTGTGTGTGAGGGCATCTTTAATGGTTATATGATAGTTATTGGTAAATTTTGCCGCATAGGATATGTGATGATTGTGGCAGAGAATAAATGAAAGGAGAGAGCAAAGTTGTATGAACTTGAACCAACAACCTTTACTCAAGCTCCAAGGTGCAAAGAGAGCGACCTTATTTATTATCTCATTTCTATTGGACAACTCGATACACTATTGGAATGGTTCTATGATAGCTTGTTGGTTGATGGCCATGTGTTGATAACATGGATAAACATACCAACAAATTAACATAAAAGCTATTGGAGATGCTCTGAGGAGAGAACCGATGCAGGTATTGGACCACAACTTGCAAGTAGAAGCTGCTGGCTTAAAAGCTGACAGTCCCTTCTTAAATGTAACTTTCTCGGCTGTCATTTTCTTATGTCTGGACATGAGAAATTAAGGGTTATTCCCTTGACCAGTAAGCCACAGGTTGGACCTGTGAAAAGGATGTTCTGACCATTTCAACAGCACAGGAAGTCTATTCTTATCTATAGACGATCTACAACAGTGCTTAATTTTTTCACTAATCACTTTCTAGACAAAGCAGTAATTACAACTATGAATGCTGACACTAGAGAACAGTCCTTAGACTGAGAATTTGAGAACGAAACCACCGGAGCCGCCTTTGCATTTCTGGTCATCATCAATAGTTGCATGTCCAAACAAATCTATGTACCTTAGAAAGTAGAAAGACAATGAAAGCATGCCTGTTTTGTTCACTCAGGTAGTCTGGCTACAAATGGGTTTTGCACTACAAATATGGAATTCCCAAATATGATCCATTGCCTTTTAAGTCTTATATTATCATGGGAACTATTGCTGCACAATAAAGAGCATTTGAAGAATTTGTCGGCCTATTAAGCTTTCAAGTTGCATTTCCTCTGAAATTCGTAGATTGGATTCGACGTACAACATCATGCAGTTAGTATTTTGCTGCTTGCTGTATGTCAACTGTATGGATCATGGGGTGCATTATTACATGTGTTTTCATGCTAAAGGGGCTGCTGGCTGACTGGCTGGAGAATATTTTTATTAAATTGATAGACGCATCTGTGTCCACTGCCATAGTTACTTAGCCTGAGCTACCTCTAGCTTCCTCAAACTTTAACCAACTAGTTAGTTAATTTTAGAAAATTCTACTAGTATAGATGGCTGGCTGATAAGCCATGAAAACCAAAGGTGTGTTGATTTGCTGAATTTTTGTTGTGATACTTTTTGTAGCAAAATCTAGAATTGACCAAGCTTTTCTGAACCCTTACATTTTCCATATTTAGGTGGACACTGTGATATCACAAGCTCAAGCAACACTGGGCGCTCTCATGTCCCAGCGTTCAACGTTTGGTGGCATCACTACCAAAATAAGCAACGTCAGCAGCCGGATCCCCACGGTATGTATCACATAGTTCATCCTTGTGAGCAAGCGAAAATCGTCCTCTTACGATGTGTATGCCTCACAATTGCTTTCCACTGAATCTATCAGATTAACCACATCCTCGCGTCGATCAGAAGAAAGAAATCGATGGACACGATAATTCTCTCGCTCGTGGCGTCGGTCTGCGCGTTTCTTATGTTCATCTACTGGTTGTCAAAGTAGTAGGATGTGGTTGGCCACAGCGAAAAGGCATCATAGTGTTGTAAGTTTGGATCACAGTGCCGGTACAGATAATGATATGATGATTGGTGTTTGTACAATATTGATTCAATGGTATTACGTTTTCACATCGCTCTTCAGCCTCATTCACCTGTTGTACCTTTTGTGCATATAATATAATAAATAAAAATCCCTCTTTAGTTTTGTACCTTTTGGACGAGGGATTTCATCGGCATTTCCGTCCAGCTACTTACACACACCCTCTGGATCTGAGTTCTAAAGATTCTTGTTGAGCTGACGTGAGCTGGGCTGCTAGGTGGCTGGAGCTATTAGCTGCTCCGCATCCATCCAATTTAATCCCTGCGATTGCGACGGGATAGACATACATCCCCACGACATATTCGCAGAGGCCGTTCGGTGGGTGCAGCCTTGCAGGACCGGAAACTTCAAGGGCTACGTACCGAAACTTGCCAAAGTCTTCTCTTCCCAGGCGGACAATGATATGGACGTGATCCCCAGCCGCAAGTGGCCAAGCCCCCGCGACGGGACGGAACGACGACCGGCCGGCCTGCCGGCACCGCGGGGGCCCTCCCAGCCACATGCGCCTGCCGCGCCCTCCGGACGCGCGCGCGGTTCCAGGTGCGGCACGGCACACGGGTTCCGGTGACTGTGAGCCAGCGCCCACGGCAAAGGGCTGGCCGCCGTACGTCGGTTTGCGGTTGCGGGCCTCGTGAGCGCGGCTGCTGTGTACTTGCATGCGTACATATTCCCCGACTTCCCGGCGGGCTGGGCTGATCAGCATGTGACGCCTCGTGGCGGCACACGTCGCCATGATCTACTCGGATGCAGCACACGTTCCGCTCCCTGCCGACGTGGTGGGGTGGCGAACCGCTAGCCAGTCCAGCGGCAGTACTCGCCACTGCCTTCCCACAATACACGGAGAAACACCAGTACGTGCATGCGTGGTAACTTGGCCAAGTTTCTTCACCGCGGAACTGATCGGGTCTGTTGACCACGCCTGGTCTCACAGAATCATGTACAGATCTGCAACGACGACTGCAGCGCGATCCTCTCGCCCAGTTGCTTCAGCCCAGCCCACGGAATCGGTACATGCTCCTTTTTTTAGCAGCTACGTACTACCAACATACTCCTTCCGGCAGCTGCACTCAAAAGTTTGCACACATACAGGACATAAATAAGCTTGCGGCGGGCGAAAGCGAGCGGGAGCTGAATCCGGCGTGGTTACTCCTTTTAGATGGCGTGGCGCGGCCGCTTGGCCAACGGCCACGATACCTCCTCCTTCCGGGGGCACCATTACCGTCACCCTCACCAGCACCCAGGGACTCTTCTCATCTTATACCAAGAGTAGAGTGCGCAGGCAGCGTCTGATCCGGGTCAACGATCGCGGGCTAATCTTCCTCCCTCCCTTCGGCGGCAAGATTCCGCGATAGCCTCGCCGGAAATCATCGCCGTTTTTAAAATACGCCGCGTAGTACTAGTACTAGATCACCACATGATGCACCAGTGGTAAGTAAGTAGTAGTACTAATCCGGTCAAAGCCAACTCATCTGAATCCAGCAAGCCGAACTGGTCCATGCTCCTCTCCTCTCCTCTCCTCCCACTCTCCGCTGCCAGTTTTGTTCGCTCTCCATCCATCACGTGCTCCGTCTTTGGATACCGCCCGGTTCTCTGTTGCGAGCAACTTTTGTGCTGGGAAATCAGGCCTCAATGTGAGCCACTTATGGTTAAAGCTTGCTCGTACGGCTCTTCCATGTTTCCAACCACTGAGAGATGTACGTACTGTGTCACCGTATGGGAAATGCTAGTAGTAGAATGACCCTGGGTTTCGGTCTACCCTCTTTCTAAAACTTGGCAAACGAGATTTTACTATTTTTGAGTTTTGAAAATTTCCGTGGATTTTTTTTACGCACATTGGTACCGAGTCGAGACTCTTACCCATGTAACTTTTTATACAAAATATAATATGACGGTTTTTGTGACCTTCGTGAAAATGAAAAATTTTTTTGATGATGGTACATTTAAAACTTGCTCCGTAAACGGTAACACTCACTTTCTCATTTTTATCCCGTCACACATGATCATATTATCTTGGGAAAACTTGCATGAGTAGGTTTCTAACCAATACCTTTGGGCATGATTTGTTCCAGGAATTTCGAAAACAAGGAATACATTTGTTAAGTTTTACTTATAAAATTGGGCGGATTCCGGTGTACCCAGGTCCCAAATATCCGCCCTATCAACGGATCACTTTCAATAAAATTCTCTCAAAGGCCCTTCATACAGCCTTTTAAAAACCGGAGAATGGTCGACAAGAACACATTAGTTAAGATCTAGGGTCTACTGCACATCACTGAAAGAATGGCGATGATTAGGATTTCACAACTACTGCACATCACTGAAAGAATGATGATGATTGGTTTTTTTTTTCTTTCTAAAGAAGAGTAGGGACCTGACCTCGACGCACAACACTCTAATTAAGAAAAACCCCAACCTCTTCCACTACGCAAGAGCATTTGAGAATACCTTCCACCATGCAAGAGCATTTGAGAACACATCATATTCATATGGCCCCTTGGCATGTTAATGCTCCATGACAGCACGCCAAGAGTTGCGTATGCGGCACCTTGTTTTGCTGCAGCACTCATTAGCCTAGCCAAGCCCCTCCACCCACAGCATTGTCGTTGTTTAATCCAAAACCATAACCACCAGCTCCAACTAATTAGTAGTAGCAAGGCTCTCTCCCTCAAGAAAATTATAATTAGCAAAGGGAACAACCAGCAAGCAATGACGATCCAGCGGAGCACCAGCATGTAGATGTCTCAATCTAAACAGCCCGGCTCTTGTCACCTATCACCCCATGATTGGGGATTGAATTTGTTGGCTTCTGATAACAGCCGACCATATGCTCCCTCTCTGTATCCCTTTTCAGCTAGTGGTGGCACGGGAGACATGGAACGGGAGCCCCTAAGCGTAGCGGCAAATTATTCTGAGTGAAGACATGTAACCACTACTTGGTCGTTCTAATCATCGTTGGATTAAGAAGATCGTTTTCAAAGTCCGCAGTGGCATACCTAATCGACCAACCGGGCCGGAGAAATGATTAACAGAATCCAATCCAGCAATATGCCACCTAAATTTTGAATTTGACAGAACACAGGTCGTAATATGGTTCGTCTAGCTGTTGAAAATCCTTGGCTATTGATGTAATGAACAATTTTTGGTCAGCCGAGCACGCAAAACTGCACACGAACATTGCTCGGAGGACAGCTGCAACTTACAACAATCGGGAGGGAAGCTCCCGCTGAATGAAGAACCAATCATCAAATGTAACAATGCCGGCCGGCCGGCCGCTTCCGCCGGAGCCGTCGTGGCAGCCATTACTAGCTCTTCCAGGCGTAGACGAGGAGCGAGAAGCCGTCGCCGCGGTGCAGCTCGGCCTCCTCGGGGCTGGCCCAGTCCATGACCGTCGAGCTGCTCGCCCACGAGGCCGAGGAGGATGCGATGGATGCTGACGACGACGAGCTTGCCTTGGCCAGCCTCCGCGCCTGCCCCCTCTTCCTCCGGTTCTCCCCATTGCTGCTGGTCTCGCTCCAGTCCCCTCTGCCCCATCTCCCTAGGTAGCCTGACAAGACGCCGGCGCCGCCTCTCCTGGCCTTGTCGAGCAGCTCCTTCTCCTTGGCCTCTGCGGTGTCGCGCTCTTCGCCGGCGGCGGTGTCGCCCAGCTCAAATCGGAAGACGAACACGGCGTGCGCGGGCGGGGACGCCGCGGCGAGGACGGAGGCGGCGTCTGTGAGGGCCGGCTCGCGCGCGGAGAAGAGCCAGTTGTGGAGGTCCCAGGAGACCTGGACCCGGTCGCCGCCGCCGAGGTCAACCTTCTCGCTGCCGCGGAACTTCCAGCGCAGGCGGCGGATGTGGAGCACGCGCTCGCCGTCCACGGAGACCGACAGGCCGACCTCCGCCTTGTCCTTCTCCTTGTCCATTTCCCTGTCCTTGCCGTGCCCGCGCGAGACGAGATCCAGCGAGATCTCCCGCTCCTTGCCGCGGACTTTGACGCAGGTCTTGTGCCCGCGGCCATGGCCCCCGTCGCGCATGGACACGTGCTCGCGCCGGGAGACGAGGACGTGGCCGGGGCCCGTCGGCCGCTGGGCCTTGGTCTTCCGGTACGCCTCCTCCGCCATGTCCCCGGCCACGACCGCCATCTCGCCGTCGACCACGACGGCGACGAAGTAGCCGGACGACGGCTCGGGCGAGCCGGGGGAGGCGAACCGCGCGCGGGTGAGGTCCCAGGCGAGGTCGATCCGGCGGTCGTGCACATGGAAGCGCTTGGACCCGCGGCGCCGCCAGAAGAGCCAGGGGCGGACGCGCACCGCGATGGTGGCCTCCTCGTCGAACTCCGGGCCGTCGTCGTAGCAGCCGTAGTCGGAGGCCGAGGAGGAGGAGGCGAGCGCCCCGACGCGGAGCACGGCCCGGAGGCTGAGGCCGAACGCGGCGCGCGACCAGGAGAGCGCCGCCAGGCCGAGGCGGGTCTCGTAGACGGAGGTGGCGAGGCTGGGCCCCGCCCCGGCGCCGGAGCCCGACGCCGCGGCCGGCGAGGCGCGGAAGAAGGCCGGGATCGCGTTCGGCATCGCGCGGGCGCGGGCACGGCTGCGGCGCCGGTGCCTCGGCTGGGGGACGGAAATGGGGTAGCTTTTTGGGGAATTTCTCGCTTCGATTTGGGAGAGGGAGGGGAGACTGCCAGACTGGGGGTTGGACTGGACCGGCTAGGCCGCGAGGCGGGAGGTAAATATAACTCTGCCGCGGTGGGGTTACGGCGCGGTGACGGGACTCCGGCTGGTGGGACCCGGACACGTTGGACCCAGCTGGGTGTGGGGCCGCGCGACCGTGCCAGTTGCCAGTATGCTGCGACTACTCTGGCTTGGACCGGGCTGAGGAGGGCTCTCATCCTCTCGTGCTCGTTTTATGTTTTTTCCAACAAGAGAAAATTTAAATTATTATCTTCATCTTTGATACGAATGAATTTGTGTATGGTGTTCATATCACTGTCGTACATGAATGCCAATGGCATTATTCAACGGGCGGATACGGTTGGGCCTCGTAAGTTAAGTTTGTGTTCCGTCTATCAGGATAAATACAGTTGTGTCAACTTAAATAGAGTTGCGAGGAGCTTGTTTGTCAACTGGACATAAAAAGGGTATTACTTTTGCACATGACTAGGGCTGGGTAACGTACTATAGGAAATCAAACGGATAAAATATGCATACAATATGTAAACATGACATGAGATTCTCTCATTTCTTGAAACTGAAAGAACTTCTATATATCAAACCGCTATTTTGAGTGATGATCCATTTTGACCGTTGGCAATGAGAACAAGGAGAAGAAGACGCACAAGAAGAAGCCCTTCTTAAAAGATGGGAACTACTTCCTCCATTCGGAATTACATCCTTTGAGCGTCAACTGACGGATACATCCATTTGAGCGTCAACTAATTTTGGATGGAGGAAGTATACAAGAATAGGAAAGCAAAGATTTTCATTGGCCAAGAGTACACCTCTCACGATTATAATACTCAAGAAGTAGGGCATGTGGCACGATAGACGTTTGACTACTCTTCGTCTGAGCCCACACCCCTCTTTGAGTTTGACTATTCCAATGAAAGAGCGCTGACCATAGATGCCTCATGCCTAGAGACTAGAAGGGACATCCTTCGTTTAATCCCCTAGGCTTCACTCATTCATCTCCTATGCCTCCAAACATATTGTGGGATGTCAGTGTTGAAGGATGGCGCGAGGATGGTATTGCTACTACACGCGGCAAGGTCTTTAAAAGATTATGTGATCTCTTGGCTTCCCTTCGGTAATGTAACGAGTACAATGAGAAAGCGGAAGAACTTATCATCAAGGAAAACAAGAATGTGAAACTCCTTGAATATAATCTCCACGCATAGCAAAATAACAATGAAACTCTTGAAGTGGATCTCTGGATATAGATAAACTCTTGAGAGAGCTAGTGGTGGCTAATGGTTTCAAAATAAGAGGGTGGCCTTGCTCATGCTCAAAACACTGAGGATCTCGAACATATTGACAATGGCTACAATCTAGTGAAGGGTGATCTCATCAAACTTACCAATTCACTACTCACAAGAAGCTCCTAGCCACCCTAGCACTACTCTGGTTTGGACTGGGCTTGGATGGTGAGGAGTGTTCTCATCCTCTCATGCTCGTTTTATGTTTTTTCCAACAAGAGAAAATTTAAATTATTATGTTCATTTTGATAATGAATGAATTCGTGTCTCGTGTTCACATCACCATCGTACATGGATGTCAATGGAATTATTCAATGGGCGGATAGGGTTGAGCCTCGAAAGTTAAGTTTGTGTTCCATCTATCAAGTTGAACAGAGTTGTGTCAACTTACATAGAGTTGTGAGGAGCTTGTTTGTCAACTGGACATGAGGTGGGTATTATTTTTGCACATGACTAGGGCTGAAGTGCCCATTATAATCCTGCAGAGTAACGGCTTATCGCAAATCAACCCGACAAGATATGCACACAACATGTAAACATGACATAAGATTCTCTCATTTCTTGAAACCGAAAGAACTTCTATATCTCGATATCTCGAACCGCTAATATGATTGATGATCCATTTTGATCATTGGCAATGAACAAGGACAGAAGACTTACAAGAAGAACGGAAATTAAATTCAGTGTCCGGGCTCATCTACACCCGGTGAACAGTACATAATTAAAAAAAAACAATTTCTTTGGTGGTGGGAGATGCTCAAATGCACGATCCTCGTGCAAAGTTTGGGGGTGTTTGGACATTTGAGGAGCTCATGGTAAAAATACAAAATCAAGCGTGAACAGTGATGTTTTCAAAAGTTTTTCAGACACCCAAAATTTGTCTTTTTTGCTACGACCTTCTTGCATGGGCATCACGCACACGAGCATCTTGCACCATATTTTTTTATTGTTTAAAGCAATTTCACTGTTCACACATGGGCTCCGCGTCCTTACTAAAGGATGGGAACTATACAAGAAGGGGGGGTCAAAGACTTTCATTGGTCTAGGAGTACAACTCTCACAACTAATACTGAAGAAGCAGAGCATGTGATAGGATAGACGTTTGACTACTCTTCTTCTGAGCCCACCTCCCTCTTCAACTTTGACTAGTCCACGACGCCAACAATATATGCATAATAGCGAGACAGTCGAAGGTACATCCTTTATTTAATACTCTAGCCTTCACTCACTCATCTCCTATGCCTCCAAACATATCGTGTGATGTTAATGTCAAAGGATGACGGTAGTGAGGATGATATTGCTACAATATGTGAAGAGGCCTTTAAAATATTATGTGATCACTTGGCCTCCCCTTGGTAATGTAATGAGTACATTGAGAAAGTGAAAATCCTTATCAGCAAGGAAAACAAGAATGTGAAACTCTTTGAATATAATCTCCACGCATAGCAAGATAAGAAGGAAACTCTTGAAGTGGATCTCTAGATATAAGTAAACTCTTGAGAGATATCCATGAAGGAAATATGCCCTAGAGGCAATAATAAAGTTATTATTTATTTCCTTATATCATGATAAATGTTTATTATTCATGCTAGAATTGTATTAACTGGAAACATAATACATGTGTGAATACATAGACAAACATAGTGTCACTAGTATGCCTCTACTTGACTAGCTCGTTGATCAAAGATGGTTATGTTTCCTAACCATAGACATGAGTTATCATTTGATTAACGGGATCACATCATTAGGAGAATGATGTGATTGACATGACCCATTTCGTTAGCTTAGCACTTGATCGTTTAGTTTGTTGCTATTGCTTTCTTCATGACTTATACATGTTCCTATGACTATGAGATTATGCAACTCCCGTTTACCGGAGGAACACTTTGTGTGCTACCAAACGTCACAACATAACTGGGTGATTATAAAGGTGCTCTATAGGTGTCTCCGAAGGTACTTGTTGGGTTGGCGTATTTCGAGATTAGGATTTGTCACTCCGATTGTCGAAGATGTATCTCTGTGCCCTCTCGGTAATGCACATCACATAAGCCTTGCAAGCATTGCAACTAATAAGTTAGTTGTGGGATGATGTATTACGAAACGAGTAAAGAGACTTGCCGGTAACGAGATTGAACTAGGTATTGAGATACCGACGATCAAATCTCGGGCAAGTAACATACCGATGACAAAGGGAACAACGTATGTTGTTATGCGGTCTGACGGATAAAAGATCTTCATAGAATATGTAGGAGCCAATATGAGCATCCAGGTTCCGCTATTAGTTATTGACCGGAGACATGTCTCGGTCATGTCTACATTGTTCTTGAACCCGTAGGGTCCGCACGCTTAACGTTACGATGACAGTTTCATTATGAGTTCATATATTTTGATGTATCGAAGGTTGTTCGGAGTCCCGGATGTGATCACGGACATAACGAGGAGTCTCTAAATAGTCGAGACATAAAGATTGATATATTGGACGACTATATTCGGACACAAGAATGGTTCCGGGAGTTATCGGATATAAAACAGAGTACCGGGGGTTACCGGAACCCCCCCGGGGGTTAATGGGCCTCATGGGCCCAAAGTGGAGCAGAGGAGGGGCGGCCAGGGCAGGCTGCGCGCCCCCTCCCCCTCTAGTCCGAATTGGACAAGGAGGGAGGGGCGGCGCCCCCCCTTTCCTTTCTCTCCTCTCTCCCTTCCTTCCCCCTCTCCTAGTTGGACAAGGAAAGGAGGGAGTCCTACTCCCGGTAGGAGTAGGACTCCTCCCTGGCGCGCCTCCTCCTGGCCGCCCGCCCCTCTCCCTTGCTCCTTTATATACGGGGGCAGGGGGCACCTCTAGACACAACAATTGATCCTTGAGATCTATTAGCCGTGTGCGGTGCCCTCCTCCACCATAATCCTTGATAATATTGTAGCGGTGCTTAGGCGAAGCCCTGCGATGGTAGAACATCAAGATCGTCATCACGCCGTCGTGCTGACGGAACTCTTCCCCGACATTCTGCTGGATCGGAGTGTGGGGATCGTCATCGAGCTGAACGTGTGCTAGAACTCGGAGGTGCCGTAGTTTCGGTGCTTGATCGGTTGGGCCGTGAAGACGTACGACTACATCAACCGCGTTGTGCTAACGCTTCCGCTTCCGGTCTATGAGGGTACATAGACAACACTCTCCCCTCTCGTTGCTATGCATCACCATGATCTCGCGTGTGTGTAGGAAAATTTTGAAATTACTACGTTCCCCAACAGTGGCATCCGAGCCTAGGTTTTATGCGTTGATGTTGTGCACGAGTAGAACACAAGCGAGTTGTGGGCGATATAAGTCATACTGCTTACCAACATGTCATACTTTGGTTCGATGGTATTGTTGGATGAAGCGGCCCGGACCGACATTACGCATACGCTTACACGAGACTGGTTCTACCAACGTGCTTTGTACACAGGTGGCTGGCGGGTGTCAGTTTCTCCAACTTTAGCTGAACCAAGTGTGGCTACGCCCGGTCCTTGTGAAGGTTAAAACAGCATCAACTTGACAAACTATCGTTGTGGTTTTGATGCGTAGGTAAGAACGGTTCTTGCTAAGCCCGTAGCAGCCACGTAAAA